TGTCTTCTTTTCTCTTCTGACACTGCCACCACCCTGATGCAAGCTCTATGCCATCACCTTGCATCTGGACTATTGCTGTACAGTCATTTTTCAGTTACGTCCAACACTTCATGATCCCACTTGGGGTGTTTTTGGCAAAGATACTGGAGTGTTTTGCCATATCCTTCTCCAGTTCATTTTCCAGATGAGGAAACTGATGCACACAGGGTTAAGTGACTTTCCCGGGGTCACAGAACTAGTAAGTGTCTGAAGCCAGATTTGAACTTTTTACAGATGAGGAAATTGACCCTCAGCTTGACTTGGTAAGGTCAGGCAGCTAGAGAGTGTTAGGCATCAAAGATAGAAAGATAAAAATAAAATAACTTCAAGGAACTCACATTCTAACAGGGAGCAGAAAGGGAGAAGACTACATACAAAGATAGGTAAATATGATAATTTTAAGGAAACACCTTGTGTAAGAGATAGCCCTAAATCTGTACTTTGAATGGCAAAAATTCTAAGATGTGGAGAAGAGAAGGGAGTATATCCTAAACGTAAGTATAAAAGCATGGTGAGGTACTGGCTAAGAAATAGAGTGGTGGATCAGTGGAATAGGTTAGGTAGGCAAGACATAATAGTCAATGACTCTAGTAATCTATTATTTGATAAACCCAAAGACCCCAGCTTTTGGGATAAGAACTCACTATTTGACAAAAATTGCTGGGAAAACTGGAAAAGAGTATGGCAGAAACTAGGCATAGACCAAAATCTCACACCATATACCAAAATAAAGTCAAAATGTGTTCATGATTTGGATATAAAGGCTGATACTGTAAGTAAACTGGAAGAGCAAGGAATAGTTTATCTATCAGATTTATGGAGAACAGAAGAATTCATGACCAAACGGGAGATAGAAAACATTATGAAATGCAAAATGGATAATTTTGATTACATTAAATTGAAAAGTTTTTGCACAAACAAAGCCAATGCAACCAAAATTAGGAGGGAAGCAGAAAACTGGGAAAGAATTTCTACAACCAGTGTCTCTGATAAGGGCCTCATTTCTAAAATATATAGAGAACTAAGTCAAATTTATAAGAATACAAGTCATTCTCTAATTGACAAATGGTCAAAGAATATGAACAGGCAGTTCTCAGATGAAGAAATTAAAGCCATCTACACTTACATGAAAAAATGCTCTAAATCACTATTGATTAGAAAAATGCAAATCAAAACGACTCTGAGGTACCACATCACACCTATCAGATTGGCCAACATGACAAAACAGGAAAATGATAAATGTTGGAGAAGATGTGGAAAAATTGGAACACTAATGTATTGTTGGTGGAGGTGTGAACTGATCCAACCATTTTGGAGAACAATTTGGAACTATGCCCAAAGGGCTATAAAACTGTGCATACCCTTTGACCCAGCAATAGCACTTCTAGGGCTGTATCCCAAAGACATCATACAAATGGGAAAAGGACCCACATATACAAAATATTTATAGCAGCTCTTTTTGTGGTGGCAAAAAATTAGAAATTGAGGGAATGTACATCAGTTGGGGAATGGCTGAGTAAGTTGTGGTATATGAATGTAATAGAATACTATTGTGCTATAAGAAATGATGAGCAAGGGGCAGCTAGGTGGAGCAATGGATAGAGCACCAGCCCTGCAGTCAGGAGGACCTGAGTTCAAATTCTGTCTCAGACCAGACACTTGACACTTACTAGCTGTGTGACCCTGGGCAAGTCACTTAACCCTATTGCCCAGCCCCTCCCCCACCAAAAAAAGATAAGCAGGCAGACTTCAGAAAAACCTGGAATGACTTGTACGGACTGATGCTGAGTGAAGTGAGCAGAACCAGTAGAACGTTGTAAATAGTAACAGCCACGTTGTGTGATGACCAACTTTGATAGACTTAGCTCTTCTCAGCAATGCAAGGATCTCAGACATCTCCAAAAGTCTCGAGATGGAAAATGCTATCCACATCCTAAGAAAGAACTATGGAGTTTGAATGCAGATTGAAGCATACTATTTGCTCTTTTTTTTTCTTCTATTTTGTTTTGTTTCCTCTTTCTCGTGATTCCTTCTATTGGTTCTAATTCTTCCTTACGACATGACTAATGTGAAAATATGCTTAATAAGAATGTATATGTATAGCCTATATCAGATTGTCTTAGTAGAGAGAGACGAGGGGGAGGGGTAAATTTAAAACTCGAAAGCTTATGGAAGTAATTGCTGATAAATCAAAATAAATTTTTAAAAAAATTTTTAAAAAGCATGGCGATAGGAGATGGAATATCATGTAGCAGGAATAAGTAGCAGGCCAATTTGCCTGCAATGTAGAGTGCATGAAACAGAAGTCTTCTCTTCCCAGGCTGACTGTCTTCTCATCCTTCACCATCCTGCAGACCTCTTCTCAACCATCTCCAGTTTATCAATATCTTTCCTGAATTGTGGTACCCAGAAGCAAACACCATCTGATTTCCCACATTCACAACTCTGGTGTTCTCTTTGACTCTGCCCTCCCATTCACTTCCCATATGCATTACCTGCAACATTCTTCCCATTCATCCCTTCTCCCCATTCCCACTGCTACCATCCTTAGGCTCTCACCAGCAACTGCCTAGACTGCTGCAATAGACTCCAGCTGCTACTTTCACTCCCTCCCTAATAAATACTTCACACTACAGCCAAATTTATTTCTTATGCATAGAACTGGTCATATCATTCCTCTGCCCAAAACCCTTGAATAGCTCCCTATCTCCAATTGAATAAATACCCATCTCCTCATCCTGGCATTCAAGTCCCTTACAACTTATATAGTTATTCTTAATAAAGAAACCCCCACATACTCTATGCTCCAGATAAATTGTATTTTTCACCATCACCTAAGGATTCTTACATCTGTGTTTCTTACAAGTCCTGCACTTTCCCATATTTCTTTATCTTGTTTCATTTTTTATTCCTGGAATTCCTCTCTCCCCTAGCCACCCTCAAAAGCCCAATTCAAATGTGAACTCCATCACCACCATTTTGAAACTTTCCCTTATTTCTCCAGTCAGCCCAGAACCCTTCAGATCTCACAAAGTATTTTGTTTATACTTCTTTAGCACAATAATGACATATCATTTTGCTTTATAGTTATTTATTTGATATATCCCCCCACTAGATTAAATGTCCCACCAGGGCAGAGCCATTGTCTTGATTTTTTTCCCCTAGACACCCTCAAAAGCCCAATTCAAATGTAAACTCTATCACCACCATTTTGAAACTTTCCCTCATCTCTCCAGTCAGCCCACATCCCCTCACATCTCACAAAGTATTCTGTTTATACCTCTTTAGCACAATAATGACATATCATTTTGCTTTACAATTATTCATTTGATATGTCCCCCCACTAGACTAAATGTCTCACCACGGCAGAGCCATTGCGTTGATTTTTTAATCTAAAAATCTTTCTTTCTTCTAGTAGCCAGTGTTTAGCATTTGTTGCCTGAATTATCCGTCTTTGTTGACTCCCTAAGCAAATTCTAACTCAACTAAATTTAGAACTAAATTCTAACCAAAATTAACCATCTTTGTTGACTCCCTAAGCAGAAACAGTTGCTATTTACATTTGGCCAAATAGCAACGTATATAGCAACCGTTTCTGTTTTAGCCAGAAACCCTGAAAGGTCTTAATCTCCCAGACTTTTTTTTTTTAACTACATAAAAAAAGCCATTCTTTACCTCATTTCTTACCTAGTCTTAATCACTGAATGGGTATTGCCTTTGTCAAACTGAGACCTGGGAAAGATCTTAGTTTAAAAAGGCGAAGGTCTCCCATTGCATCCTGGGCCATGTCCATTTGTCCTGATTTGTATCTTGCCACCGGGCCCAGGTGGCTCAGGAGAAGAAAGTGAGGCTGGTCACTTTACACAGCGCTCTCTCACTTAAATCCAATTCACTTATAAGTCATGACATCACCTCCCTGATGTCACGGTCCTCTTTGAGAATGAAGGACAAACAAAAACAAGCAAATTCTGGTAAGAATTCTTTGGTTTCAGTGTGGGATGAAGAGCCAGAGGGCAAAAAAGAACCCACATTCCCAAAAGGACAGTATTCTAACCAAAAGTTAAAGCCTCGCAGAAGAATCAGAGAAACAAGGAGACCTGTGCTCCAGTCTTGAGGATCCCATTTAACACTCTTTAGTTACCTGCTCTTGCCAAGTCAAGCTGAGCTTCAATTTCCTCATCTGTAAGAAGAGGCTAATACCTGTATTACCTCCTTCACCATCTCCCTTAAAGCAGTATACAACTGAGTGCTATAATTTCACAAGCAACTGGGAGGCAAGGTGGACAGGGCGCTCAGCCCAGAATCGGTCAGAGGAGTTCAAATTGGAGCTCAGACACTTACTAGCTGTGTGACTCTGGGCAAGTCATTTAACTTCTCTCAGCCTCAGTTTCCTTAAGTGTAAAATGTCGATAATAATAGCACCTTCTTCCCAGGATTGTTGTAAGGATCAAAAGAGATAGTATTTGTAAAGCACTTTGCACAGTGACTGGCACATAGTAGGAGCTTAATAATCACTTGCTTCGGTCCCCCAAATCATTTTGGTTCACATAGGGTCTTTTCATGTAAAAAGTCAGGTCAAAATTTTTTAATTTACATTTTAAAAAAATCATTGCAATTTTTTCATCCCCCTAATTTATAAGTGGCGTGGTGAGGTGGCGAAAATCCTGGATCTGAGATGCTAGGAGCTCAGTTTGTAGTTCAAACTCCGTATCTTACTAGCTCTTTAACACGTGGGGAGCCGGGCTGCATGGCATTCTGGGATCCGTAGTTCTAGCCGGGTCGCTGGGACTTGTAGTCCCACAACGACACGGCTCTCCGCCCGCCCCAACCCAAGTCTCCGAGTGTTTTGTCCGATCAGTACAGCAACGCTGCCCCCTGCCGGTTGTGTTCCGGCGCGTCGTTCCCGGAATTTCTTCTGTGGCACCGGAAGGGGAAGCTTTTGACTTCCGGAAGAGCGGACGCGGAGCCGCACGTGTTCCGAGCTCCGGCGCGCGGTAGTGGTTTCCTCAGCTGTGGGTGCCCTCGGTTAGCCATGGAGGCCCGCAGCGCGGAGGAGTTGCTGGCCCGGGCCGAGCGAGCCGAGGCGGAGAAGCTGCGGCTCATTACGGTGCACAAGGACCTAGAGCTCGAATTCGACCTGGGCAACCTGCTGGCCACTGACCGGAACCCCCCGACGGGCCTGCGGCAGCGGAGCGGACCCGGGCTGGAGGCGCAGCTGCGGGGGCTGGCCCGGGACAACGTGCAGCTGCTCATCAACCAACTGTGGCAGCTGCCCTCGGAGCGCGTGGAGGAGGCGGTGGTGGCCAGGCTGCCCGAGCCCAGCCTGCGGCTGCCCCGCGAGAAACCGCTGCCCAAGCCGCGGCCGCTCACCCGCTGGCAGCAGTTCGCGCAGCTGAAGGGCATCCGGCCGCGCAAGAAGACCAGCCTGGTGTGGGACGAGGCGAGCAAGCAGTGGAGGCGGCGCTGGGGCTACCAGCGGGCCCGCGACGACACCAAGGAGTGGCTCATTGAGGTGCCCGGCGGCGCTGACCCCGACGAGGACCAGTTCGCCAAGAGGCTGCAGGCCAAGAAGGAGCGCGTGGCCAGGAACGAGCTGAACCGGCTGCGCAACATCGCGCGGGCGCACAAGGTGCAGCTCCCCAGCCAGGGAGGCATGCACCCCACCGGCTACCAGAGCCGGGCCGAGCTGGGCAAAGCCATGCAGGTGGCCAAGGTCTCCACCGCCTCCGTGGGGCGCTTCCAGGAGCGGCTGCCCAAGGAGAAGCCGCCCCGGGGCCCCGGCAAGAAGCGCCAGTTCCAGCCCAACATCGGGGACTTCGCGGCCGAGAAGAAGAGTCAGCTGGAGCTGATCAGGGTCATGAACAGCAAAAAGCCCAGAATGGACGTGACCCGGGCCACCAACAAGCAGATGAGGGAGGAGGACAGGGAGGAGGCCGCCAAGAAGAGGAAGGTGGCCAAGGGCCGCGGGGGCAAGCGGAAAGGGCGACCCCTGGGGCCAGGGGGGAAGGGGAAAGGGGGACCGCCAGGCCCAGGAGGCAAGCGAAAAGGGCGACCGCCGGGTCTGGGGGGCAAGAAAGGACAGCGTCAAGGAGGGAAGAGAAGGAAGTGATGCATTTTCCTCTATAGTGGGTGTTCAGTCGCTGAACAGTCTTGGGAGTGCCTTCTTGGCTCCAGTGGAATAAGGAAATAAAGACATGATTCCCTGCCCTCCTGAAGTTTGGTGTTATATTGTTAAGCACCTAGCTCTGTGGCCCAAAATTTAATTGCTTTGGACATTCCAAAAGATGAATGGGGAACACAGTAATCAAGGAATATTTTGTGAAGGAGTTGGGACTTGAGCTTGGCTTGAAATGGTTTTCTGGACTTTGAAATTTAAACTGCTTGTAACTTTTGGAGGAGGGGAATTGTTGAGGAAGGTATGAATATATTTCAGATTCTTAGTAAAAGTTTAATATTGTGAGTTCAGAATTAAGTTTAAAAGTAACCAGTTGCAAAGATTAATAAATGTTAAATTTCTATCCAAAATGTGTCTATTTGGGAGCTTATATATATATTTTTTGCGGTTTTTACTTTTTGGTGGGGCAGTTGGGGTTAAGTGACTTGCCCAGGGTCACACAGCTAGTACGTGTCTAGTGTCTGAGGGCACATTTGAACTCAGGTACTTCTGACTCCCAAGGTGGGAGCTTTATCCACTGTGCCACCTAGCTGCCCAGGGGGCTTAGATTTTTAAAGATATTCCACCCAAAAACAGCAGCCTGAAGTCACCTGACTGCCAGGTGAATGTGGAAAGTAAATATAGCAAAACTTCCAAACCAGTTTGTTTTGGTTGTCTAGGGGGAAAAACCTGAGGTATATTTTGAGTCTATAGTGATTGATTGTACATTCATACCACAAGTGTTAAACTTGCAAGCGCCTAAGAGAGGGAACTTGTTAAAAACCATTAATTAGAATACTCACCCTAATTGGCGGGCTCTGAATACAAGTAAGTATGAGTAGACATAGCTGACTTGGGGTTCTTCTCATCCCCCAAGCTCTCCTCTTATATTACCTTGACCGTTTTGGATTTTTTTAGCGACAGTAGAAATTGCTATAATCTACTGTTTAATAACTTAGTATGACATCCCTAAGTAATGGATATTTAGACAGCCCTTATCCTTTTACTGAAATGACTGGTTCAAAATATAGAAAATGGGGAATTTTCAGTTGAATATTTTTGCTGGGCAATGCAAAAATGAAGGGAGTTTGTCAGGAGTATACAGCGGGCCTTCACGTAAATACAAACTAAAATGTGGTAAATGCATTAAAAAGATGAAGAAAATTCCAGGAGCTGTTTCAGAGGGGATTAGGAAGTAATTCTGTGTAGGTCCCATAAACTTATATTTTGGATTTGTCATCTCACTAGTGTGTGAATGCTCCTACCAATATAGATCATAACCCTCATGCTTTTTCAGCAGCAGTTCTCCCTGTTTTCCCTTAAGTTCTTCTCTGAGGATCTGCTTAATACGATGAAGGCCTTCCCATTTTTACTATGTCAGAAGCCCTGATATTCCAGTGGAGCTGTCTATTATTCATTTTCAAAAACTGCCAAACTCAAATTTTCTAGTCAGGGTCAACCCCTATCAACTCTTTTAAATGAAAGTTCAAATTGATTCATAGTAAAAGTATATGAATATTTTAAATATCCCAGTTTGCTGAAAGTAAATTTGCATTATCTCTGGCAATTACTGAATTGAACACAGCATAGTACAATAGAAAGAGAGCTGGATTTGGAATCAGAAAAGTTTGATCATATCCTTTAGGCAAGTGACTTCAACTCTCTAGGGTTCAGTTTCCTCTCGTGGAAGGTCAAGGGGTTAGAACTAGATTCAGTTCAAAAAACATTAAGTGCCTACTGTGGCATTGTGCTAAGTAAGCATGGAGGATACAAAAAGAGGCAGAAGACATTCACTGCCCTCAAGGAGCTTAAAATCTAATGGGGGAGATAACATAAATAGATATACAAAGCAAGTTATATACAGGATAAAGACAGGAAATAATTAGAAAGCACTAGAATTAAGAGGGGTTGGGGAAAGCTTCCTGTAGAAAGTAGGTTTCAAATTTCAGGGTACTTTCAAGGAAGCCAGGGTGTTAAGTAGTCAGAGCAGAAGAGGGAGCTCATTCCAGGAATGGGAGACAGCCAGAGAAAATGCTCAGAGATGAAATATCTTGTTCATGGAACATCCAGGAGGCCAATGTTGGGGAGTAGGGAGAAGACTGAAAAAGTAGGAGGGGTGTAAGTTATAAAGGACTTTAAATGCCAAACGGCATTTTCTATTTGCTCTTGGGTGAAATAGGAAGCCATTGGAGTTTATTAAGTTGAAGGGGATGGAGGAATTAACATGACTTGACCTTCATTTTAGAAAAATCACTTCATTGGCTAAAGTGGGCAGGCAGACCCACAAACAGGCTATTGCAGTGGTCCAGATTTGAAGGCCTGCACTGGAATGGTAACCTCTAAGGCCCCTTTCAGTTCAGGTTCAGTGATTCTTTTGTAATAATGATACCCTTGTAAGTACCATAGAATGAATGGTATGAATATAAGATAGTAGAGGCAATGTTGACCCCTGGATTGAGGAATGGCTTTGGAATCAGGAAGACCTGAGTTCAGATTCCATTTATGTGCTATGTGACCATGCCTAAGTCACTTAACCTTTTGTTGCTCGCAGGCCACTTCTTGGCAGCAGAAAAAGGAATTTCCTCAACAGGAGCTCTGAAATCTGGTAAAATTGTAGATATTCTTCCCTACCCCACCCCCCAAAAAATTAGCAAATAATTACATGACTGCGCAGTAGAAAAATTTTTGAGGTACTTAAAATATAACTTAGATGTCATTAGGGCCAGTTCTCTCAGTTTATGGATGAAGACATGGACTCAGAGGTTAGAAGGTTAGTCCATAGTCACAAGTATTAGTGCCCAGGTCCTCTAGCTCTGAATCCAGGGCTACAGCTTTAAATGTAAAACTTAATGTTCATATCCCCATTTGCATTCTGGTCAAGTAAAATTTGCCTAATTGGAAGGGACCTAGAGATAAGTTAGTGTTGAACATCACCACCATCATTTTTTTTTTTTCACCACCATCATTTTACAAATGAAGAAATGGGGCTGGAAAGGGGAGGTCACTAACCAAGTTACCTACTGAAAAAACTAGTAAGTGGTAGAACCAGATTTGAACTTAAAAGCAGCTCCATGGCTAGTACCCTCTCTCTTACACTACACCATTTTAAGTCATCAATGAACATGAGGGCGTGCTATAGGAAGAGCAGCATTCTAGGCCTTTCAAGGGTTTGTTTTAACATAGGAAGCTTTAAACCCTTACCAGAGCCATTTAATTAATTAAATTCCCTAGAGTGACAAGTCAGCCTGCTTTCCAAGCATTTGACATCTGGCGCTTTGTAGGTAACTTTCCAGGCCTTGTAAGAGATTTTCTTTCTCTTAACCTTAGAAATAACATGCTTAGTGAACCAAATATAACCAAGCAGTTGAGAAAGAATAAGTAAAACAACCAAAAAAGCTTGCAGACAGTTTTCAAAGGGGCTACATTAGAGAAACTAAAACCTAGTATCATATTTATAAGCAATGTGGTGCAGTGATAAGAGCGTAGGGTCTGGAATCAACAAACACCTGGTTGTAGCTACTGTCTGACACAAGCTGTATGTTACCATGGACAAGTCACTATTTCTCTAAGGGTGATTTTTTTTCATCTGCAAAATAAGAATAATCCCTCCATTATTATAAGGTTGCTATGAGGATCCAATATTAAACACTATAGAAATGTCAGCTATTAGCTGAAAATACTTGGGTTTTTGTTACATTGGGGGAAGAGATTTGATTTCATTTTTACTTCTTCCACCAACACAAATAAGTGCTCTGTTTGTTGATAGGTGATCTTCATGAGTTGCTGTGACCCAAAAAATTTGCTATTTGGTGACTAATTCTAATGATAAATTTCTCCACCCTTAGGTCTTCCGGTAAACAGAAACAGCACCTTTGGTTGGGCTGTATAAAGCTTTTCTCATCCTGTAGTACCTGCTGGCGTTCACATTCATTGGACATAGCCTAAAGAAGCCCGAGTGGCATAGGATGAATAGATGTGGATGGGTTTCTGTCCGCATCCAGCTTGACCTCACAGATTAATTTGCTTTTTAATATGACTCAAGTTTTTGTAGCACTTTAAGCTTTGCAAAGAACTTTCCCCAGACTATTTCCTCTGTTATACTAAACTATTTTGTATAGTCTCAACCTCCTGCCAATATGTCAATAATAGGATTTCAGAAGAAATTTTTGTTAAAATGGAAAAATTAAAGGTAGCAGAGAGGAAAGTGAGAATTAATTTTAAAATATTAAGAGCCTACTTTGTAGACTATACTGCTGGCAAGGGTCTAACCATGACATTCTCTTGCTCAAGAAGCTTTGGTAGGACCTATTGCCTTTAAGACAAAATACATATTTCTCAACCTGGCATTTAAAATTTATCAAGGCAACTAGGTGGTGCAGTCGAAGTGCCAGGCCTGGAGTCAGGAGGATCTGAGTTCAAATCCAGCCTCAGACACTTGACACTTATTAGCTATGTGACCCTGGGCAAGTCATTTAACCTCGATTGCCTCACCAAAAAAGCAAAAATAAAAAAGTAAAATGAGCTGAAGAAGAAAATGGCAAAGCACTCCAGTATCTTTGCCAAGAAAACCCCAAATAGGATCATGAAGGATTGGACACAACTGAAATGACTGAACAACAATATGATATGACTCCATCTTAGACTTCTCATCAAATATTCTTCCTCACACCTTCTGCTTTCCACCCAGATTAGTCCATTTGGTGTTCCCTACACATAGAATGTCTTGTCTCCCACCTCTTTACCTTTGTGCAGGCTGTTGTTGCCCTCTGTTTATTTTCTTCACTCACTTCTGCCTCATAGAATCCCTAGATCCCTTCAAATCATGCTCAGGGGCCTTCAAGAGACCTTTCTTTATTCCCCTAGTTACTGGTACATCCCCCTTCCCAGGCAGTCAACAGACAATTGTTAATCGCCTACTCTATGTCAGGCTATTTGTGCCTGACCTGTGGCAGAGCCTTCTAAGCTCTTACTGGTCTGATCAGCCAGAGTTGGACACACTGTGCTTTGACCCCAAGATAGTGATGCCATTGTGGTGCTCTTCAAGCATGAAGGACAAAGATCCTATTGTATTGTGTGTGCCAGGCACTGTACTAAGAGCTGGGGATACAAAAAAACAACCCACTCCCTCTGCTCTCAAGGAGCTCACAATCTGAGGGGTGACAGTATTCCAGCGGCAATGTACAAACTAGTATATGGGGTAAAAAAGAAAATAATCTGAGGGAAGACCCTAAATTAAAGAAAGACTTCTTGTAGAAGTGGGACTTTAGACCCCACCTAAAATTACTTTGTATTTTTTGGCGTGTATTAGTTATGTACTTAACTTTATACATATTGTTTTCCTCCAGTAGAACATAAACTCTCTG